CTTACCTCCTCCTTGAAGGTGTCATGAGGTGACAGAAGCTTGGGTGTGGAGGGCACCTTGTATTAGTTTCCTGTGGGTGCTGTAACAAATCAGCACAGACAAGGTGGCTTAAAACAACACAAATTTATTATATCACAGTTCTGGAGGTCAGACGTTGCATAGGTCTCACTGGGTTAAAATCAAGGTGTCAGCTGGGCTGCATTTCTTCTGATGGGTCTAGGGGAGAATCTGTTTCCTTACCTTTTCCAGCTTGTGGAAGCTGCCCATACTCCCTGGCTCATGATCACAAATCGCTCCAACCTCTGCTTCCCTCATCACATCCCCTTCTCTAGTTCTGACCCTTCTGCCTCCCTTTGTTGAGGACTCTGTGGTTATATTGGACCCATTTTGATAATCCAAGAAAATCTCTCTATATCAAGATCCTTAATTTAATCAAAGTCCCTTTTGCCATTAAGGTAACATATTCGTAAATTCCAGGGATTAGGGCCAGGACATCTTTGGGACAGGGTATCATTGTTCTGCCTCCTGCACGCATCCCTGTGTGAATTTCCTCCCTGTGTGAATTTCCTCCTAGGTTCCCTGGTGGTGGTTTTCTGGCTCATACTTGAATATTTATAATGACCAAGAACACATCATCACATCATCTCTTGGAAGGACTTCTTTCATTTTGGCCCAGTCTCCCTCTACCTCCTATCCAGTGGTTTGAGTTTTTCTGCTTGGGACATCAACATTTTTAAATTCAATCAACTCTCTTATCTTCCTTCTCATGCTGTGTTCTGAGTCCTTTCTCCGTACGGATTTTGGTCTGGATGATACCATTTGTGTCTGGCTGTGTTCTGAAAATATGGTCCCTAGAACTGAAATCAGTATTTCAGACTGGTCTGACCAGTGCGGAACGGCGAAGGACCTTCCTGGCTCAAGTCACTTATGGTGATGAAGGCTCAATTGCATTAGCTTATCTGATGGCCATTCTCACTCTGTCGAATTACGTTTTTTCATGGGTAAAGTAGAGCTACTGATAATACCTAGGAAACCTTTCTTAATCGCTACATTTTAGTTTCCTCATCTATAAAATGGAAACGATAGTGCCTTCTTATAAAGTGGATATGGGAATTTAATGAGACATTCTACTTCTAGCACTTTGCAAAGTACCTGACACACAGCAGGTACTCAATAAAGCGTCCTGCTGCTGCTGCTAAGACCGCTACTACTGTTGTCATCATCATCATCATCATCAATGATCTAAGTTCACAAAAACCCTATGTCACTTATACATTTTCTTTGGTTTTTTAACTAGAGGACAGGAAATTTTCTTTTTCAGTTTCATAAATCTTAACAAATATCCAATACAGATAGAGTACTAGACTGGCCCCTGTGGCGGTGTACAGTGGTTTATAGGATGTGGGGATCATGCACTTGATGCCTTTATCCAAGGCATTCATACGACAGAATCAAGGATCAAGGTTTTAAGCTACTGATGGAAACCTCTTGCCTGTTTAGGTCTAGCCTTTAATCAACTCATTTGACTGCAATCACCGAACTCTTCTGAGTTTGTTCCCACTGTTGTGGCCTTTATCTTGTCTATAGTGATATTTTGAAAAGCCTTCACATGTGTAGAGGCTTCCCAACCAGTGGGCCTGCTAAAGAGAGGGAAGCTTTGTGCACATCAAATTTACAGAGTAATAAATTTGAGAGGTGTGAGGTGTTAATAAACATTGTCAGGAAAATAGCTTTTCACACTGGTGCTATGACTCCATTTCATACTCACTTTATGGTTTCTCTCTTAATTACCCAAGGTGCTTGCTTAACACCATTTGGGCTTATTAGTTTTCTCCAGAGTCAACCTCAAGTGTATTGATTTAATTAGCACTTGTTTCAACTTTATCCTTTACATATTTTAGCAAAATGTGGCACCTTGCAGTATTGGAACATAGCAAGCTGCAAAATTCCTGGGGAGAGGCATGTGTAGAATGTCATCCAGGAGAAATGTTCTCGTCATGTGTTCTCTTTTCAAAGAAGTCTTGTTTTAGTCTAAAAGAGTTGCAAATGATAAAAAGGGTTCTGGGGATAGTGACAGTTAAAGAACAGAAAATTAAAGTATATGTTTAAAGCGTTTTAATGTATGTATGTGTTGTATTCCAGAAGTTCTTTTGTAAGGCATAGGGACAGCAAAACATAACAGAGTAGTCTTGTCCCTCCTGCCACCTCTCCTGTCCCTCCATCTGCCTTTTTAAAAACACAGAAACCTGAGACCCAGAGGTTTCTCTTGCCCTGTCTAGACTGATGGCACACAGAGTAGCAGAAGCAGATTCTAGATTCTAGTTAGAACCTAGATCTCTTTATTCTGATTGTCCTATGACCCTACAGCATTCAGGTGTATTTGAATTCAGAATCTCTTTTGTAAGGAAGAGATAGAAGAATCCAGCTAAGTTATGAGCTAAACAGGCTTTGAGGATTGGCTTGAGAAGCTAACTCCCTTTTTAACCTTGCTCCTTTGTCAAACAAACCATAGCTTACTCAGATCTCTCCTCTTCTCATGAGGCCTTCTCTCATTACCTTGCTGAAAATTTTAACTTGCCCTCCATTCCTGCTTAATACTCCCTAGCCTACTTCTCTGTCTTAGTTTTATCCACAGCACTTACTATCATTCAACATACTGTATGTTTTGCTTATTGAGTAAAGACCTACCACTACTAGAATCTAGACTCTCTGGGGAAAGAATTTTTTTTTTTTTTTATTTGTTCACTGCTGAATCTACTTGGCCTAGAATAATAGTATCTGACACATAGTAGGCATTCAAGAAATACTTGTTGAATGAATACAGGTACGTGGAAAAAGAGTGTTGTGGTACTGGCAGTGCATCACCCCACTTTTCCTCCTTTCAAGCACCTTCCAAACCTGTCTCATCCCCTCTTGTTTTTACTGGAGTCTGAGTGGCCATGTCCTTCCAGTAGATGAGAGTGGAAACCACCCTCCCAAGAAACACTTCCTCTCCATTTTGCAGGACAGTTAATCCCTGCGTGGCTTCGACAGGGTAATTACTTATTATAAGAAGTTCCCAAAGTAAAATCCCCTGTAGCTATGCTTCACATTAATCAGTGCATATTTGATAGTTTATTTGTAAACAGAGCTACTTATCATGTGTCACCTGCTCCAAGAAGCAAAGGAATTTTGCTGTTGTTAGCTAGCATCTTTTGCTCTAAAGTACCTTGATTTGAGCGTCTATTTTTCTCCTGCCAAATCTGCTGGTGGGAAAAGCATTGTCAAGAATTTCCTCCCAGACCTCTTGTTGAGCTAGCATGTGTGCACTCCATTAGCGTACCAGTTCCATTTGTTGTTTGTTGAAGTTGGTTGAATCAGAGGACAAAGTTTGTGAGCTTGCTGTTCATTCTGTAATGGAATTGTTAAAATAAATAGCATTAAGGGAGTGTGAGTAGTAAAAAATATATACAGTAATAAAGTGAAATGGGCTATAAAAATCTAGCAAACTTATAAAAATTGACTGAGCCATTCCCTAAAAATTTTTCACAAAGTGAAAATAGTTGAAATAAACTTTCAAAAATATAAATATAATTATAAATGTGTTGAAATATGTTGCTTTTCTCCTGAACTTCTTGGTTCATTGCCTTCCCAAGTTGGTTTGCATGAACTGTATAAGAGTACCAGAAATTCATAAGTCAGAGACCTCTGTAGCAATTGTTTCCTCTAATGTGTGTTTTATATATTCTTTGTAAAGGGTGATTAAGATTTAATTTTTTTCAGTACTTACTCAATTTCTCTGTTTTGGGGCCCATCTGTTCCCTTGTAGCCTAGGTCATTTATAAATGATGCCATCATAAAAAAGTTGGTCTTTATGGAGGAAAATGATTAGGCATTTGATATTCCCCCATGCTATTGAACAACTAGGAAACTTTCTTGTACATACTTTGGTCAGGAAGTTTTATAAATCTCCCAATTGTAGACATAATTGTATGGTTATTTTTCCTTCTAGTGATTTGCTTTCTTATGGGGAAGTTTTTTATTAGAAAACAAAGAGTATTACTTTTGATTTTTCAAATGTTTGAAAGCTCTGTTGAGTAAAAGAAAATTCAACCTTGCCATCTCACCAACATTTACCTTCAAAAACTTTCTAGTAGAACTTTGTTGACTTATTTCTCACTTACCTATCCACTCACTACTTCTCTCAAATTAATTTTTACAGGAAAGGTAAAAGCATGCTGTTAGTACATTTGCCTAAGTTTGCTATTATAGTTGGCATCAAATTTCTCCCTTTTTTTCTTCTTGCAAAATAAGAAAGGAATAAGAATAAAAAGCATTAAAGTTGTAGAAATCACCAAAAGAGAAAAAAATAGATGGTATATTTATGTACAGAATGTATCCGTTTGAATCTAGGGCCTTTCTCATTTGTTTTATTGCTCAATGGTATGAAATAGTAAGCTGAGTTTGTATGACTGAATTATTCTACATCTGTGTTCATAAAATGCTAATCTGGATTCTTCCAGCAGTGAGATCATTTTGTCCATGAATTTTGGAAAAGATTTAAATTGTAATTGTACCCTTTGCAGTCCTATTATTTTATTCCATTAAGGCATTTCTTCTATTCTAAATTGCTGTAAAGTAATGAGACTGGTTTCCACGAGCCACCCCTTGTAGGCTGTCATTTTGTATCACACCTCATAAATGAAATGAGGGAAATATTGGAAAATGGTGAGATTTGACAACACCTTCTACTCAGTCCCCAGTACTCCCCTCCTAGATGCAGTATTGCTAATTCAGACTGGCAGAGGCTGGCTTTGATTCTTCCAGATATTGGCGGTGAGGGCAAAGACCCTTTTATAAAAGTACAATTAGAGTATTTAAAAAAATACTGTTATACATATGAAAGTACAATTACATATGAAAGTATAAATATAAAAGTACATAATTTTTTCTTGATAGAACACTTTATTAAATTTCTTAATATATATGTATATATATAACATGGTTTTCTTTCCTAATAGGTGAAATGAGGAATGATTTATATATCACCATAGAAAGGGGAGAATTTGAAAAAGGAGGAAAGAGCGTGGCCAGAAATGTGGAAGTTACAATGTTTATTGTAGACAGTAGTGGCCTGCCCTTGAAGGTACGTTAATACTGGATATTTTTGGTAAAACAAGTCTAAATAGTTGCTTTGGTTTCATCTTTAATGTGATCAGTTAATTTCTGATTTGCAGTTTTTTTCTATCATATTTTTCTTCTCCACTCCTGTGTAGTTTTCTTTTTTTATTAATTCATTAAAATGCCTCTCAGAAAAGAAAGAAGAAAAACAAAAAGGCTTTTACATTTTGTTTAATTAATTACATCAACAATTTTCTTATAGCAGCTATTCTTTAAATGCAGTATTTTTTCATTTGTTTCCCTTTCATCTGTCATAGTTTTAGAGATGAATGCTTTTTCGTTGGCAACTGTTTTTTAAAAAAAAAAAAACAAACTATCACATTTATTCCTATGTATTTTCATTCTGACCAAAACAGGGCATGAAGACTGGAGTACTACTTACTAATTGGGGTGATAATAGCAGGTTCCTTTATGGAGAAAGTATTTTTTGTGAGCCCCTTCTTTGTAGAGAAGTAACAATTGCCTATTCAAATAAGACGGTTGGCCCTGGGGCTTAGTAAGTCACCACTGAGGCACAGAACAGGCTTTTGACTGCAGCAGGTTGGCAACTTTGCCACAGAGTTGAGCTCCGAATGGAACGTGCAATTGCCCATCTCCCACATGTTGCCCCAGCCCACCCTTGGCACGGTAAACCCTGGGAGAGCAGCGTCAGAATTAAACAGACAGACATACCCTGCTAGGCAAGAGCAAGTAGAGAAACGGCGCGGCAAAGAACCAGGGAGGTAATTTCACATGAAGTGCTACGTGGGGAGCAGGCAGATAGAGCAAAGTGACTGCTCTGCCTCTTTCAAAAGAAGCTTTCAATGAAGCTGTCTTTAACCACCGTGCTTCCTTTGTTAGGATTTTATCTCCTTCGGCTCTGGAGAGCCACCAGCTAGTGAGTACCACTCCTTTGTGCTTTACCACAACAACAGTCCCCGGTGGTCTGAACTGCTGAAACTTCCTATTCCCGTGGATAAATTCCGGGGCGCACACATCCGCTTCGAGTTTCGGCATTGTTCCAGTAAGTGTTTGCTGGTGTGTTTTTGTTGTCTTGGGATAATCTCCCTACTAAGGTGTGATGACGATATGGGCTGATGTGCAGAGAGTGTGTGACAAATGAGAGACGTCCAGGTGAGAGACACGACGGTAAGGGGGTCCCAAGAGGTACGTGGACTCATTTAAGAGCCAGTAACCTATGTAGAAACATAGAGGAAGGAGAAAAATAAATATACAGGAAATTTAGGTTTTCCTTAAATAGATTGAATCAATTTGTCACTTACAGAAAGGGAAGACACAGCATTAAAACCTGGACTGGTTCTGGTGGTCTTAGGCAACACTAACCAGTCTGACATCTCCAGGAGCTGATCAGACAGATCAGGGCTTTTCTGGGCATGTGAAGCCCCTAGAAAAGCCTTTGGTAAGCTCGGATTTATATCATGTATCTACGTCACTGTACAGACTCAGACAGTATTCGAATGAGGATTAAATAATGTCAGCCAGAAAAGGACTTAGAGATATGAAGTCATTGCCTCATTTTACAGATTTAAACAACCCAAGGCATAGACGTGATATAGGATTTGTCCGTGTGGACATTGCTATCCATAAAGTTGTGATTTCTTGATGTCTCTATTTTAATTCTTTTGTACTCATTACCACCTCCTGAAGCCCCCACTCCCTCCCCCTGTCAATCCCAGCCCAGGGATCTTCCGCTATTCCCTGTGTCACCGACTGTGTCTGAGACACTGCCTCACAGTGCACATGTGTCTGGTGAATCTTGCTTTGGGAACAGTATAGCAAGTGAGAGCTCCAAGAGAATCACATTATTGCAGAAGCAGCAGGCTCCTCTCCGGTCTGGAAGGAATAATATTTTGCCAAGAGATATATGGCGACTTCACCTGAATGATGTTGTAATTCACCCAAGATTCAGGCGGAGGAGGACTTTGTTCATTACTGGAACTATGGCATATTTCAGATTTGGCTCAGGGAGCTCCATAAATTTTGCTTTTGTGGATGTTTCAGAATGCAGGAAGATGGCTAGCAAAGCCTTATGATTCTTCCACATTCCCAGAAGAGTTTCATGTAAAGGGCTTGAAGTAGGAAAACATAAAGGACTTGGAATGGGGCCATACTATTCCTTCCACCAATCCTTGTTATAAATTCTCACTTGGGCCTAGTATGAGCTTTGAACTTTAAGGTAAGAAAAAGATGGAGGAAAATAAAGGTGAAACAGTGGAGAAAGGGAGAAAGCATTTGGAGAAAATTATTATAATTCAGAACTTGGAAAGCAGAATAAAGGCTATTTTCAATAAAATCTGTTAGAACTCTCCCTCTCATCCTTGTACTTCAAACACTGTTCACAGGTTTGGAGTTTTTTTTAATGTTCATTACTAAAATTGAGAAGAAACAACAAAGTGTAAAGAAGAAAAATATCCCCATAATACCACAAACTACAAATAACCAATGTAATCATTTTATCACATGGGCTTCCTAATATTTCTCTGTGTACGTATATTAATTCAAAAACATCATTCATGAAGCAAATATTTCTTGAATACTCACTATGTGCCAAGCACTTTATTATTGGGTACTAGAGAGAGGTTTCCAAACACAGCAAAATAGCTCCTCTCACAGAGCTTTCATTCCAGAGAGGGAAGGCAGACAGCAAATGAGCAAATAAATACATAATATATCAGGTAGTGAGGGGTAAGTGTGATGAAGAAGACTTAAATTGGGGTTAGGGGATAGAAAGTGATGGTGATGTGTTGCTTTTCTATACAAGGCAGTCAGGAAAGACCTCTCCAATAAGGAGACTAAAGAAGTGAAGTCCTGAGCCATTGGGGTGTCTGGGGAGAGAATTATTTCAGACAGAGAGAACAGTACAAAGGACATGAGGTCGAAACATGCTTGGCATTTTCAAGGAATAGCAAGCAAGCCAGAAAGGTAGCAGGGGAGGCAGATCTCATATTGTCTTTGGCATCACAGTGAGGACTATGGATTTTATTTGGCATGAGGAGAGCCTTTAGAGGATTTGAGCTGAAGATAAATCTGGCTGCTGTATGAGTAATAGATTGCAGGTAGGCCAGTTGGAAACAGTAAGACCATTGGGAGGTATTTTCAGTCCTCCAAATGAGAGATTAAAGAGGTCTGCTATAGAATGGTAGAGGCTCGATTCTTTTTTTTATAGAATATTGACAGATCAGAAGTGAATGAAGGAGAAAAGTAAAGGATGACCCAAAGATTTAGGCCTGAGAATGAAGTGGTCATCTAATGAATCAAGAAAGTCAATAGGAAGAATCTGTTTGGGGAGTAAATATTAAACATTCCATTTTAAATGCATTAAATTTGAGATGTTTATTAGGCAAGATATCAAATATGCAATTGTGTGAGGTCCAGGTTCGACACTTAAACTTGAGAATGAGAAGGTATAATTCAGTAGTTGGTCTGCTGTAAATATTTAATAACCAGCACTTGGATAGGGGTGGCTTTGAACTATAGCATTTGCTGATTTCCATAGTGTAAATACTCCCACCGTGGCCAATTTCAGGCTACCAACACAACATCACTGAATGCAGAGTTTGGGAAAGATGTGCCCTCTAAGCTCTATGAGCCCATATGATCCAGCTCCAGCACATCACTGATTTTAATGGTTTTTGAAGCCTGAGACTAGATGAGATTCCTAGATAGTAAGTTTCGATAGCAAAGGGAAGTCCAAGGTTGGATTTGTAGGGCATCACCACATTTAGAGCTGGGATAAGGAGAAGGAGCCATTAAGGGATAATAAGAAGGAAGAGCCAGTAGACTGAAGGACAGTCAAGGAAGAACAGAATCCAAGAGGCTAAATGAAGGCAGTTTTTCAAGAGGGGATTGATCGATCAGATGTGTCAGGTGCCAGAGATAAATCAAATAGATGACGACAGAGAAATTGTCATTTGATTTGTCATCATGAAAGCCACTGGATCTGACAAGCAGTTTTAGTGAATTTGTGGTGATGAACATGAGTTCAAGAGTGAGATGGAGGAAGGGAAGGTGAAGCAGTGAGTAGAGACAAATCTTTGGGGAAGTTTTGCTATGAACAATGCAAGAGCTGTGTTGATGCATAGGAAGACTCAGTATTGTTAAGATGTCAGTTCTTAACTGGATCTATAGATTCAGTGTGATCCTAATCAAAATTCCAGCAAGGAATTTTTGGGAATATCAAAAAACTGATCCTAAAGTTCATATGGAAAAGCAGAAGACCCAGAATAGTCAACACAATATTGAAGGAGAAGAACAAAGATGGAGATCTAACATTACTCAACTTCAAGACTTACTATAAAGCTACAGTAATTGAGATAGCATGGTCTTGGGAAACAACAGACAAATAGATCCATGGAACAGAATAGAGAGACCAGAAATAGACCCACTTAAATATAGTCAGTCAACCGATATTTGACGAAGGAGCAAAGACAATACAATGGAGGAAGGCAGTCTTTTAGACAAATGGTGCTGACATTTATTTGCTAGACATTCATTTGCAAAAAAATGAAGCTAGAAATGGACCTTACATTCTTCACAAAAATTAACTCCAATGGATCATGAAACTAAATGTAAAATGCAAAACTATAAAACCCCTAGAAGATAACCTAGGAGAAAATTTTGTTCACTTTGGATTTGGCAATACAACACCAAAGGCATGATTCATGAAGGAAAGAATTAATAAGCTGAACTACATTAAAATTAAAAATTTTCTGGTCTGTGAAAAGCACTGTCAAAGAATGAGAAGATAAGCCACAGATTGGGAGAAAATATTTACAAAAGACATATCTGATAAAGGACTGTTATGCAAAATATACAAACAACTCTTAAAATTCAATAACAAGAAAATGAACTTGATTAAAATATGGGCCAAAGACCTTAACAGATACTGCACCAAAGAAGATATACAGATATAAAAAAAGCTTATGAAGAGATGCATCCTATCACTTATCACATGTCAGGGAAAACAAGAACAGGATACTACCACCCACCTATTAGAATGGCCAAAATGCAGAACACTGACAGCACCAAATGCTGGCGAGAATGTGCAGCAAAAGGAACTCTCATTCATTGCTCATGGGAATGCAAAATGGTACAGCCACTTTGGCAGACAGTGTGGTGATTTCTTATAAAACTAAACATGCCCTTACCATGTGATTCAGTAATCATGCTTCCTGATATTTACCCAAAGGAGCTGAAAACTTATGTCTGCACAAAAACCTGCACATGGACGTTTATAGCAGCTTTATAATAATTGCCAAAATTTGGAAACAACCAACATGCCCTTCGGTAGGTGAATGGAAAATTAAACTGTAGTATATCCAGACAATGGGATATTACTTATCACTAAAAAGAAATGAGTAATCAATCCATGAAAAGACATGGAGGAACCTTAAATGCATATTACAAAGTGAAAGAAGCCAATGTGAGCTACGTACTGTACCAACTAGATGACATTCTGGAAAAGGCAAAGCTATAGAGACAGTAAAAAGATGAGTGGTTGACATAGTACACAGAGGATTTTTAGTGTAGTGAAACTATAATGGTGGATACCTGTTACTATACATTGGTCCAAACCCATAGAATGCACAGCACCAAGAGTGAACCTTAATGTAAACTGTGGACTTTGGGTGATCATGATGTGTCAACGTAGTTTCATCAGTTGTAAAAAATATACCACTCTAGCGGGGGATGCTGACGGTGGGAGAAGTTGTCCATGGGGGGCGGGTCGGGGTTATAGGGAAAATCTCTGTACTTTCCTCTCAATTTTGCTGTGAGCCTGAAACTGCTCTAAAAAATAAAGGCTATTTAAAAATAGAAGAAGCATATAGGAGAGCTGAGAAATGGGATAGTAGCCATAGTAGAACATTGGGTGATGTGAGATTTTTTTTTTTATACAATGGAGCTTTTGAAGCATGTTTATTTGGTGGAAGAGATTCAGAGGAGAGGAAAGACCATGATGTAGAAGAGAGAAGGGACAACTCTAGGAACAATGTCCTTGGGGGAAAGGAGCTTGGACTGCAGTGCACAGGGAGGAGTTGGCCTCAGGTAGGAGCGTGGACAGTTCAGGACAGTTCTGGAGACTGCAGGAGGACACTGATGCAGGTGGGTTATCAGGTGGGTGTGGGAGCATGTGGGATCTCTCTACACATCTGAGAGTAAGGAGGGTGCCGAGGTGTTGGAAGCTTGAGAAGGGGGGAGAACCAATGAAAGAATCATGTAGAAAAGTGGGAGAGTGAGTTGATTAGGTAAATGTAGAAAGATTGCCCAGCTCAGAACCCCTTTGCAGTTAATGTGCATTAGTTAAAGTGAAATCAGTCTAGTTTGGCATGGAATAAACTGAAAGATGGATTTAACCAGGTTGGAGTGTTACAATGGAAGTGTGGAAGAGTGAGGGGGTTGAAGGTATTTGCCAGGAATTGACTAGAATGAAGTATCCATAGAAATGGGAAGCAGCAAGAGAGAAGAAAGTTGATGAATTGTAGGTTCCAGAAGGCAGAATTGCTAAGAGTAGGCAACTAGAATGAATTGGAAAGTTAGGAGGTAGAATCCATAAATTTAGGGCTTTTTGTTAGTACAAAGGGATCATACTGTGCATATTGTATATAGCAGTCCATCAGCTTATTAATCCTGATCTAATAGCTCAGGACAAATTGTCATGTACTTTAAACTTCAGTATTTATTTTTACTTTATAACACAAGGCAAATTTGGGGAAACTATTGCTTTATTTCTTATCTTAGCTAATTTTATTCATTCTGGAATTTTTATTCTTTTTGTCTTTCTGAATTGAACACCACAAGTCACATCAAAAAGATAAATAGTCAAAGAAACTTAGGAAATTATTTCTAAATAAGTCTTCTCCTCTAAATCATAAGATCCAGCACTGTCATCGATGTGAAAAATCTCTTCCCAGACCTCTTTTCTGGGATTTTTGCTTAACTTTAACAAACATCAGTATTTTCTCAGTTTCTCTCTGGGTTGAAATTAATGATTTTAAAAGAAAGTCCTTTGGTATAATCACATTTTCCTCATGCTGGGGGCCAACACCAGCCAGCCAGAATTACTGAGTGAGGCTCTCCTTCCCTGTGGTTAAATGCCGGGAGGAATTGTGAGGGAGTGATGTGTTGCTAAACCTCTTGACTGGTCTTCAGGGTCACCATATCTAACTCTTCCAGCTCAGCTCTTACTGCATCCCAAAGCTGAACTTTTCTGTTTAAGTGTAACACTCCACTGCCACACTCGTGTGGGAAAGAACAGCCATCCAGCTTAACAGGCTGCCGGCCCTGGAGCACTGCTCCCTGCCCATCTAAGTACAAGGGGAGAGTCGAGCAAACAAGGTTCTGTTAATGCCTTCTCCATTTTTGGAAAAAGAAGCTTGGTGGAAAGAACTGGAATGGTACTTAAGAGATCTACAGCAAGTTACCTAACATCCATGATCTCAATTTCCTTATCTATAAATAATGGCTAATGATCCTTGGCATCTCTAGCCATTGTAATTCTTAATTAGGCATCTGAAAACCTCATTGCCTCATTTCCAGCTTCTGGTGCTAGTACAGTGAGCCCTTATTAAACTATAGTTTGCAATTTCTATTGTCTTTCAGTGGGCCTGATTCCAAGTAGGTAGCTTCCACGGGGCTCACTGTCCTCACACGTGTGGAATAGGGAAGGGAGTTCTGCCAGGGATCAAGATAGAGCTTAGAGGTTCCCCTTCCGTGGGTAATTAGCAAAACATTGCATTTCTCATTTATTCATGCACTCATTCATTGACTTCATATATATTTCTTCAAAACCTACTATGTTTGTGGCACTTTTTGAGACAACAAAATAAAGCAGAGAAGAATCCTGCCCTCAGTGGTGCTTGGGGTGAAGAGAAAAAACAGACAATCTACAAATTTTTGAAAAACACAATTTCAGATAATGAGTCCCATGAAGAAAATTAGGCAAGAAATGTAAGTTGCAGATTAGGGGGCAGGAATATGGGGTTAGAGAGCGGCTAGTTTGATAGATGACCTATGATAAAAGCTACTTTCCACTGTGTGGAGGGAGCTAGGGTATGGGGGTGACATTTCTTGATGCTCATGCTTCTTGACAAACTATGTATCTGAACACGGATGTGGAGGCATGCACTTGAATAATGAGTAATTCTTCTTTTTTTTTTCTCTCTTTCACAGCAAAGGAGAAAGGAGAGAAGAAGTTGTTTGGTTTCTCTTTTGTGCCCCTGATGCAGGAAGATGGCAGGACTCTTCCGGATGGCACTCATGAGCTTATCATACATAAGGTAACGTCAGTCAGGTGTCGGTGATGGGCAGGAAAAACGGGCTGAATTATTAACTCACCATTTTATCACTTTGGAAAAGAGAAAAAAAAATGAATGAAAAGAATACTCTTGTACAGTTGTTTGCAGGGAGAGCATCTTTTTGAAAATATTGTTTCTACATCCTATGTCATATTCTAAAACATATTTTAGAGATGATTCACTTTTTCATCTTAATTTAGGGGTAGATATTTGGGTAATTCTGTATGTTGCTCTTAAATCCTTTCTGTTGCTGTGATAGGATTAAATAAACCTTACAAATAACTTTTTAAATACTACATGCAATACACTCTTACTTATTTAGATCTTTATATCCCCGGAGGTAAATTTAGCAAGGTCAGCATTACATTTTTTTTTTGGTCTGCTGTTCTTACTAAGCAAGCAGAGAAGAGGCTGCACTTTGTCATGATGACTTTAGCAGTTGTTCTTTTAAATCAGGAATCGTCATAAGAACATGCGGAACAAAGTATACTGTAGTAGGCAACAAAAAGAAAATTCACAAAGCAAGAATCCCATAGAAATTCTCTGAGAATACTAGTGCTAATGAAGTATAGAATAAAAATATATTTTCAAATTACATAGGCAATTTGCTCCAAAATATTCCTTCTTTGCATTTCTCCATTTCTGTAACCTTGTGATGACCCGGCCCTTATTAACTCTCACTTATGCTAACTGGTCCTGTCAGCCTGGATCTAGGTTCCACCCAGACTTTAGGGCCACCCAGCTAAGATGCAGATCCAACCAGGTCATTTCCCAGTTTAAGACCCATTTAAAAGCTCCCATTGCTGAAAGAATAAATCTCAGGCTTCTCACAGTGTGCCAGGCTTCCACCTCCCTCCTGTTTGACTTCTCACCACTTCCTGCCTCTTACTCAGTGGTGCAACCACATCCAGCTCTTTTCTAGTTCCTTACCCCTGCCCGGTGGCTCAGTTTACTCTGCTCTGCTCTGCTCTTGGGACTCCTGGAGTCATGCCTTCCCCTGCCTCTCCCTCAACTACCTTCTGCTCATCCCCTGAGGCTCACCCTGGCCACAGCCTCAAGAACTGTCCCGTTTCCCAGCCCAACTCCCTATATTCCCAGCTGGCCAAGTGCCCTCTCCTGAGCTCCCTGGGCATCTGCACACGTCTCTTACCATTGTTCTCATCACACTGTGCCAGAATTATCTGATGATCCCTCGGCTTACCCCCGTAAATTTATGAGCGCCTCGAGAACAGCAGCTGTGTCGGAGGGATTCTGGCAGGAGGTAGATGTGCAGTGAAGGTTTATTGAATGAATGAATGAGATTACAAACAAAAACTTTCTTTACCTTCGGATTACTGCTAATAAAATGAGTCGCAATACACAACACACCCAGTATTTTCTGTTTTGATGCAATGTGTATTTAGGTGTCTATTTCTTTAATCATTCATTTTCTCATTATTGGCTCAACACATGTATTGACCACAAACTACAGCCAGGCACTGCTCTGGTGCTAGGAAAATAGTGGCAAACAGTCAAATCTCTCCATTTCTGGCACTTATATCCTCTCTACTTCAGAAAATGACCTAAAGGAGCTAACAATGTTGAAATGCAAAGAAAAAACTGTTTGAAAAAATAGTAACCAGTAAAGCAAACAGAGGAACTAAAAGTACTAGAAACTGGGGATGATCTATTTATCTCACCATTAGATCTGAGTCTCCCTTATTAGAGATAAATAACATGACAGGCACTGTCTCCAGCTACGGTTTTCCAAAAAAGCATAAATGGTACTTCGTATAGATGTCTGCATGACATTAAATCTTGGCTCAGAAAAGACAGTGCTGAGACAATTAAAACTGGGCTCCCAGTTTCCTAACAATATATAGAAGAGTGAATCACTTCTATACAATATATCACATGTGGACTCTCTCACCTACGGGTCAGAGAGTGCTTCTTTGGCAAGTGCTAGGTTTCCAGTCAACTACTGGGAGACGCCTCTAAATGAGTGAATAATAGCAAGATTCTCGGTTGCTGATTAGAGAGATCCATATGCTTAAAATGCCAGAGGCCAGATAGCAGTGCTCCCTTCTCCATATGAGCATTTAGAAGTCCAGCTGGTATTGATTCCCTGGCAGAGGCTTGTCCTTGTGCCCTGGCCAAAACTTTCCTCCAAAACAGGGCTTTGAATCAGTCAAAGCCCTTACACAAAGTTTGACTTAGTACCCAGAATTCTAATCCATGAAGAAAAAATTTACTGGAGCTTGAAAAATTTGTCCTCGACCACAAGGGAGGCTCAGTATGGTGTGTGTAGGTTGTCTAATTTGGGGCAGACCTACATTGTATGGACCCATCGGGAAGCATTAGCTCTACAGAAAACCCCCAACTATCTGTGTTTTCTTATGAATAGAGTTATTTAGTGTTGCTTATTTAAAGAGTTGTGAACTACTTGCCAAGTAAAACAACTTTTATTTTTAGTCTGGTTGATGCTATGGTTTTCTTTCTCATAGTACTGGTCCAACAAGTTCAGTTTCAGCTTACAGGCACTTGTAGTTTATGATTATAAAACCATATTTCCAGCATAATGCGTATCCTTCTTCTGCCATGGCAGGAAGGCACACAGCCTGCTAACAATTGCATACTTGAACTTATTATTTAAAAAGAAAGAAAGAAAGATGGGGAGAGAAGTGGATTTCAAATCATTGGCTAAAAATCCAGCGCATTTAATAAGTGGTGTTGAGAGGACAGGGATGGGTACTGGGGTGTAGGGAGAATTGGATTCCTACCTGACGCCTTATACTAAAACACACTCCAGACTGAATGTAAGAAAGAAAACTGCTGTCAGAGCCTTAAAAATGTGGGTGAACATTTTTGTAATCTGCAGGTAAGGAGGGATTTTCTAAGGATGTCTTAAATGTTAGAAATCAAGTATAAAAAATTTATAAATTAGGCTACATAAAATTTAAAACTTTTTTATTAATGAAATAATCATAATCTAGGCTAAAAACTTATGCCAAACTGAAATATGGTTGCAACACAGCTTATAAAAGGTTACTATTCTCCATTTACCAAGAGTTATCACAGATCAGTAGGAAAAAGAGAAATTGATAAATGCTACAAATCGTCTATTTAAAAATTATAAATGTAAATGTGTGAAATAAATACATGAATAAGTAAAGATATGTAAGTTAAAGAAGGGGAAACCCTTTGGGAGACTGGGGTGGGAGGATTGCTCGAGAGTAAGAGCAATACCCTGTCTCTACAAAAAAATAGAAAAATTAGCCAAGCATGGTAGTGTGCATCTGTAGTCCCAGCTACTTGGGAGGCTGAGGCGGGAGGATCACCTGGGCTCAGGAATTTGAGGTTGCAATGAGCTATGATGAGACCATTGTACTCTAGCCCAGGTGACACAGCAAGACCCTGCCTCAAAAAAAAAAAAAAAAAAGAATGGGGAAGGTTTTTTTTTGCCTATCACATTGGTAAAGACTTTTAAAGCCCAGGATGGAAGAGTAAGGTTAAGGGGAATATGAACAGTCTCTTGCATTTATAGAAGAAATGTGAATGTTAGTGTGTTTCTGAAGAGCAGTTTAGCAATACATAGATAAGTTTTAAGTGTGTATATCCTTTGACTCAGCCAGTCCACACTTCTTGGTGTTTATTGAGAAAAAATAATCAGATAAGATGAGCAAAGATGATTCAAGGATGATCATTGCAGCTTCCTTAAAATATGGAAAACATGGAAGTGGTTATTGCCAGTAACATAGGTCTGATTAAATAAATGAGTTATACCTATACAGTGAATGAAATACTATATATTTATTTATATTTATTGAAATGATGTTTAAAGGATAATTTTAGGTACATAGAAAAATGCTTATGATATATTGATAATACTTTATAGAAGTATATATTTAGTAGGATACCATTTTTATAAAATTGTTTAACTACATGTCCATATGTATATATGTGCATAGAGAGATGCTTGGAAAGTGATCTCAAAATATTAGCAATGACTATTTTTATTTTCACATCGCTTAACTTTTTTGTTAGTGGACAAGTATTATAACATTAATAATCTTTTTTCATTTTGAAAAGATAAAAGTGGGAAGAGACAAAAGTTAGGATTAGCCTTGTTTTATATTATTTAATTCTGGACTTTTATCTAACTAAGGACTTCTCTTCTGTCATATAATCATGACAGTCATGTTTATGGTAAGGTTTTGAAGAAACATTAATTGTCTGAGATCTTTGTAGACCATATTTCATGTCATTCATTGACAAGTGCTATCTGTGATATCAAAAGTTGATGAGAGATGAAAAAATGCTCTAAAAATGTATCTGCATTTCTGTCTTGAGGATATACAGAGAAGAGCTATGGTCTGTAGTATTTAGGGTCAAAACCTACTTGCTCCTCACATAAGGTATTAGTTTAAAAGACTCACTCCTACAGTGAGCTAAGAAGAAATCTACTGTGTTGAAGTCTATTCAGTAACCTAATTTAGGCCTAAAATTTGTGAAAGAGACAGAGAGTTTGCCTTTATAGCAATGGCTGGACTCCACTTCTGGACATGTTCTAAGGAAACTGTTCTTACAGAGGTGTTACAGTAAATACTCTGTCAAGGACCTGGACTCATCCTTTAGGGAAGGGTTAAATGCATCCTAAGGGCAAGGACTTCTTTCAAGGACATTTTCAACTTTACTTGATTGATTACCTGTTTGGAGTGGTTTCCAATGGAAATAAACTCAGAAATCTACAAAAATCTGGATGTCAGAGCTCTAGAAGGGCAAGTGAAATAGTTTGATTAGTCATCATTAGAGATTTTGTCCTTCCAGAGCCCCTTTGACAGCTCTCAGAACATCATTAATATCCCCAAATGGCTGGTGGGTAAGTTTAAAACTTACCTTTGGAATTGCTAATTTGCTAACAATAATATTTAGTCTTAAGTTTTGTTATTCACTGCATTCTGTTAGAATTGGTGTCTTCCTTAACTTTGTAAGGGTATTTTTGG